TTCTTTTTAATATCTGAAAGATACTCTTTTTTCTTTTTAAAAAGACCGTCCGCTATCGTGTTTTTAATCTTAAAGATATATTTGACTTTAAAGTTTGTTAATTTTATTTACGCAATCTAATTCGTAACGAAAGCTTTAAGCAAGTCGCTTGCTGATCTGTTAAGTTGATTAATTAATACTTTAACGTCGGTTTTTAAGATGAAATGAACTTCGTATAATTCGCTTTTTATCTTTTTTATAGTTTTTAAAGCATCGCGGCATTCTCGCTTAATCGCGTCGTACTTACTTTCCGCAAAGTTCTAAAGACTACTTTCGAACTTGGTATGAGGGGAGGAAACAAACAATTCAGCCAAGGAATGCCAAAGCTGAGGAACGCACGGACCTCTACAATAGACTTATCTCTTTTTATACTTTAATATCTCTTTTATCTTTCGTATACAATTTAGACCTTATTCGAAGACTTTGCTTTCGTACCGTGATATATTGTGTACTTTCTTTAATCGCTATACAGCGTAGTCCACGAACGCGCGAACTTAGTGATCTTAAAAATAAAACCTTTTTATACTTCGAAAACCTTTTCGCATGCCTTCGACGCGCATACTCGTCCCCGCATACTAAGTCTAAGGCTAAAACAAAGCTTTTACTTTAGTTTTAACTCGTGTCACCTTTAAAACGATGTCCGCCGACGATCTTATAACTACTTTAAACCTTAGCTATTAAAAGAACCCTTTACTAATTTTCGTTGCAAACAATTTCCTTTTTCTTTTCTCGTGTTTTAATATCGCTAGCGTCTTTGCAACCTTTTAATCAAATCTTAACGTTATTGCGACCGAGATTATAATATTATAAAGATATGCCGAACATGCTACTGCTTACTTTAAAGACGTAAAAGCTAAGCTCTCGAGCTTTTTTATTAATAGTTACGAAGACAATCAAGCTTTGCGCAGACAATTACTCGACTTTCAAAGATAAATTATCACTTTCGATACCGAAAAAGCACTTTTAACTAATTAAATCACTACTTTCGAAGCTTTGCAACGCAACTTCTCTTTTTTATTTAATCGACTTTATCGATCTGCCGAACACTTCGACTTCGACAAATTCGATAAAACTATTATAAAACTCCGCTCGTTCTTAATCGATATAAGCATCAAACTCGCTATTAATAGAGACTAGTACTTTATCGAGTACGATAAGATAGCTTATTTCCTTTCTCGCTTCTCCGGCGAAGCTAAAAGACAAGTTAAAAGAAGCACTTTTATTCGTAGCGAGATACTTTATAAAAGCGTATTAAAGATCATCGATATCTTAAACGCTGCTTTCGGTAATATTAATGCTAAATCTACCGCTTAACAAGCCTTTTTCGTCTTCGTTTAAGAAAACCGATCTTTCGCTACTTTTCTTTTTAAGTAACAAAAGACTTGCTTCGAAGCTTAATTTAGCGACGAAGCTTTTATCGCTTTCTTTAAGCGCGCTTTCTACTCCGATATTATTAATCGTCTTTTATACATCCCGGCTAATGATTACAAAACTAAACTCTTTAAGTTTATCTTATAAGTCCGCGGTATTAATAATATCTTTCGCAATCAAGACTTTAATTACTTTAAGAAAAAGACAATTACGGTCTCCGTTATCTTTCAAATCGCACTCGGATATACCGCTTTTATTCTTACTTTTACTATTATACAAAGAAGTATTGTTATAAACGTTAGCGTAATAAAAATAAGCTTTATAATTACTTAGACCGCCGCCGATGCTTTTGCTAAGCGTATCTTTAAGACTTTAAACGAAAGAGAAGCTAAAAAAGTCTATTGCCGCAACAATAGCTTTTGCAATTAATGCTACGACAAAAACCATACGAGCTCCGCTTGCTTTACCGCTTTATAAAACACTAAAAGAAGAAAAAGCTAAGGAAAAGCTTAGTCTTTAACCGAAGACGCCGTCGAAGACCTTATAAAAAAAGTACTTTAATTATCTTTTTTTTAAATACTTCAATTAAAAATCATTTAGTTCTTCTTTATATTATAGCAGACTTAACTAATGAAATTCTTATTAAAACTAAAGCTATAATTGATTGCGAGTATACTAGAAAAGTGATAATTAATTATTCTTTTACGTAAACTTATAACTTAATTCTCGAACTTTTATTAAAACCTCGATCTTTACGACTCGCTGATAAATCTTTTTCGTTAGCGAACGTTACTTATAAGATACAACTTCACTTTAATATTAACGACTATTCTAAATTTATTATTAGATTCTTTTTTAATTTCGGCAAATACGATATTATTTTAAGCAAGCTTTAGCTCGCCTTTCACAACTTTTAAATCGATTAAAGCTTTGATTCTTTTACATTCAATAATAAGACTTGTAAAAATTATTGCTTACTTTTTACTTATCATTAATTATTTATGCGCAACTTAATACTTTTTGTTACGACCTTTAAAACCTTTGTTAAAAGACTTTTCTTTCGGAAATTAAATGCAACCGCTTTTTATATTACAGCTTTTATATTAAAAGTAAAGATTTTCTCCGCTTCTTTTTACGAAATTAACTAATAATTAAAGACCGAATTCAAAGTAGACTTCGCCGCTTTCGATATCACTTCTCGATTAAGCTTTCTTCTTTATATCTTAGACTTTTTTAACTTTTAAAAAATAGATCGAGAACTATATATTTCTTTTATAGATTTAATTAACGATATTTAACTTTCCGAACTTTAACAACGCTAAATAGCCGCCGATATATACTTTTGCGGCGCTTTTTTTAAAGATATTCGGAAAGCTTTAGCTTTTAAAACTCGTATCGATCTTGTTATAATCGTCTTTTTTTAATACTACGATCACTTTAACGCTTTCGATTAAAACGAAGCAAATAAACTCGCTCTTTATAAAGATTGCGATTACGCTATCGAGCTGAAACTAAGCGTTATCTTTCTTTATAAACTTTTTTATAATATATTATAAGATGAACTTCTAGTCTTTCGTAAATTCTTTAAAGAAAACTTTAATAAAAGATTTATTTAAGCAAATACTTTTTAAGCTGCTTTCTTTATACTTTTCGTTAAGAAACCCAGCGGAGGCCTCCGCTTTTGCGTAGATTATAAAGCTTTGAACGCTATTATAATAAAAAACAGATACCTTTTCTTTTTTATTTAAAAAACCTTTTCCCGCTTTAACAAAGCTAAATACTTTACTAAATTAAACGTTATTTACGCTTTTAATAGAATCCGAATAAAAAAAAGTGACGAATAGCTTATAGCTTTTAACATTCGATACGGCTTTTTCGAATCTTTTGTTATGCTTTTCGGTTTATTAAACGCTTTAGCTATCTTTTAAGCTTAAATCAACGATGTTTTACGACCTTTTTTTAATATATTTTATTTCGTTTATATCGACGATATATTAGTTTACTCCGATACTTTAAAAAAATATCGTTTATACGTCAAAGCCGTACTCCGAGCTGTTTAAAAAGCAAGCTTTTAATTAAACGTTAAAAAATGCGAATTCGAAGTCTAAGAAGTCACTTACTTCGGCTTGATTATTTCTATTACGAGCGTTAAAATAGACCTCGCTAAAATCGATTGTATAACTTCTTAAGAAGCTTTCGTTAATATTAAAGACGTCTAAGCTTTCTTAAGCTTTTCAAATTTCTATAAACGATTTATTAAAAGTTTCTTTCGAATCGTTACTCTTTTCGTCTACTTTATTAAAAAAGAATCTAAATAAAATTAAACTTTAACTTGCTAACGAGCTTTCGATACTTTTAAAAAAGCATTCGTTTTAGCATTAATTCTTTCTTACTTCGACCTCGATCGTAAGATTTAGCTTAAGACGGATACCTTCGATTACGTCTTTTCCGCTATTCTTTTTTAAAAAGATAATAAAAGCGAACTTCACTTCGTAGCTTATATATTCCGCAAATACGACGCAGCCGAATGCAATTACGAAATCTACGATAAAGAACTCTTCGCTATAATTCGAGCCTTCGAAAGCTAGCGTTTAAACCTTACGAGATCTTTATACTTTATACACGTATTAATCGACTATCGCAATCTCGAATACTTTATGATTATAAAACAATTTACTCGACGGCAAATTCGGTAAAGCGAATTCTTTTTTAAATTCGATTTTATTATTAAATTCAAACTAAAAAAAGAAAGCCGAAAACTTAACTTTTTTATACGCCGATTACAAAACCTTTTTTAAGATGACTTCGACTTCTGTTATACTTATTAAAACTAAGCTTTCTTTTCTACCGACAACTTAAACTTTTAAATTTCAAATTCATTAACACTTACTTCCGCCGAACTTCATACTGAAATAGCTTTTTGCTTAAACGAATTAGCTCTTACAAACGAGCTTTAAAACTTGAAAATCATACGACTTTTAAAAGAAAGCTATAAATCCGATAAATAGTTTAAAGTCATTAGCAAAAAGATGATTAAAGAAGAAAGAATCTTTTATTCTAAAGAAATCGCTCTTTTCGAATGCATTTTGCGTAACGATCAATTATTTTTCCGAAGTCAATGATACGTTTCGGATACTGAACTACGCACTTTCCTTTTATAATTTGCTTACTGTTGGTACACAGGTGTTTGATAGTACTATCGTTTTAGGTATTAGTTGTGTTGTAGATGTCTGGTATTGCTATACTAATAGTGGCGGTCCCTTAAGGGGACCGCGGATGCACGTGCCACCTTTACGTGCCAAGTCCACTATTACCCTTATCGTTCCTTCCTTTCTTATCCGCTGTATGCTTATAGAGGCCGTTGTATTCCGATATTAGCAGTTCTTTACTTGTTGTAAAGAACGCTTTAATTATACTTATACAAATTCTTGCGTCTCGAAGTTCTGCCGAACTTTTTATTTCCTTTGTTACTCTCGATCTACCTATCCTTCAATACGCACTTTTAGCGTATTGCAATCGATGAAGCTTTTTAAAGCTTTGTTCGGATTTGCTTTAGTTATATGATCAGCTGAGTTGCTCTTCTTATCAATCTAGCGTATTTCGACGATCTTTTTGCGCTCGTAAGATTGTCGTAAGGCTATTACATCGATCATAAGCCTCTTCTCTTTAGTTGTGCCGAGCTTTATTAAACACTCGTAAAGTGAGTAAGAGTCGGTAGCTATTACTATTAGTATCTTTAATAACGAAAGCTGTTCGGTGATTTGATTTAAAGTAGTATTTAAAGCAATTGCAATGTTTACTTTAGCTACTATTCCGAGGATTTCTAAAGCTAAAACACTCTTAGTAACTCTTTTACTTTTAATAGAGCTGTAATGCACTACGTTGCTTATAACCTTAAAAGTCTTTTCGGTCGTACGTATTTCGTTTCTTAAGATAATCACGTACTTAAGTTGGCTAGATAGATCTTTGTTATTTGCAAAAAAGCTATTTATAAATACAAAAAGCTTAGCTAAGCGAAGGTCGATAAGAACGTATTTCAGCCTTCTGCTTTAATTGCTAATCATCTATTAAAGACACTTATTAAAGGCTGCCACTTCGTCTTTGCTAAAGTCTTTGTGCTAAGCTGCTATTAAAAGAGCAAATAAAGCTTTAAGTTAGTAAGTAGAAGTAATATATGCTTTGCGTGCGCGCTGCTCGAAGTATTCTTGCTTATAATTCAATCTATCGAAGACGAAAGCGAGCTTCTAGCTTTGCTGTTTTTATGTAAGAAGCATAGTATCGTCTTTTTATAGCTTTAAAATACAGCTATTGAACTTAATATCGGTAGTATAAGTTAGCTTAGTCTTATCTTTAGCTTTTAAGCCGGCCTTCTTAAGTTCTGACCTCTTTTTAGCTGCAAAACGATCGTCGGCGAAGTAATAAGTGTCGTCTACTTGCATCTTTACGAGCTTAAATATGTTTTTTTTAATATAAATCAAAAGGCAAAGGTCGTAAGTCGAAGTGATTGTAAACAGCTTCTTTTTATAATAAGTGTAGTATATTAACTACTAAAAGGTACTTGCTTTAAGAATCTTATATAATGCTTTGCGGATCTTTATAATTGTTTTTTCGAAGTAAAACTTAACTATTTCTTTTGGTAAGCGTGCTAGAATAAGCTTATTTAATAAATAATCGCTTTGAGTATAAGCTTACTGTCGGTTCATTTATATCGACCTTAGCTAGTAAATAGTAGTTGGGGGGGAGCTCACTCGTGAACCAGGGTTCACGGGCTACTAAGCATGCCTCGCTTAGCCTGTCACAGGTCAAGGGGCCCCCTAACCTGCTTGTAAACCTAGTATTTAGCTAGTACACGTGACTCCTTCCTATTGTATAGAAGGAGTCAGTTCTCTTACAACCAAAATCAACAAGAACAACAAGCAACAATTGAGTATTTTACCACCGAGTGTTTTGCAATTGCAAGTACTTTGACGACGTCACGACTTTTACGAATTATTACGAGAGATCGCTATCGGCGATCCAACACTGATTAGTGATTGTTTAATCGCCAAAGCGTTACTCAATCACAGAGAAGCTAGGATCGATCGAAGAGTTGGGACTTTACTTCTACTTATTCGAAGAGTGTAGAAGTGGTGAGTTTGCGCTATAAGAAACCTGCAACCGCAGTGAAAATCACTATTCAAACACTTCGATACCTTTACACCTTTCTACGGAAGAGCGATTCCGTACCAAGTCGCTTTCTCACACCTCGATACCTTTCCTTTACAACGGAAGAGCGATTCCGTACTAAGTCGCTTGCCTATACTACCGCCTTACCTTTTTACACCTTTCTACGGAAGAGCGATTCCGAACCAAGTCGCTTTCTTACACTTCGATACCTTTACACCCTTACAACGGAAGAGCGATTCCGTACCAAGTCGCTTTCTTATACCACCGCCTTACCCTTATTTCTACGGAAGAGTGATTCCGAACCAAGTCACTTATATACAACCTATCAACGCTGTAGAGCCACGCTAGCTATACACAGCAATACAACAACATGCAGTCAATCGATCCCTAAGGCGGAGAGAGTGGCAGACAAAGAGCTTCTGGAACGTCAGCAAGAGCTTAAACAACAGGGATTCAAGCACCTCGAATCTCTATAAAATTTACGGACCCTTTTTCAAAACTCGCGGAACCCCCTTTAATGCTATCGAGCGATCCAGGCACTCGGAATACCTTCGAAGATACGTCGGACCTCGGTTTTGACCTCGATTCACTACCGTATCCAAGGCCAGAGAATCATACAAGAGCAAGGTTAATTATCGAAGACTTCTTGGACATAAAAAGTGAAAGTTTAAGAGACCACGAGCTTTGGTCTTTATTCCGACACGCTTTCGCTCGATGGACCGCGGACGAGTTCTCGTTGGCCGCTAAACAAGCACACGGCCGAGGAAACAAGTTCACGCTGCTTATTAAGCTAAGGGATTACCTATTGTCTAAAGGAGTTTGGTGCCTTCCAAAGCAAAAAGGCTACGCCAATGGACTAGCCTCAATTATACAAATGGAGAAAGAGCACCAATGGACCTAGGAGGAACAGCGAGCGCAACAGGCAGCAATCGAGGGATTTGATTCTAAGTGGAACGAGGTTACAATCGCCCGCTTAAATCGACAAACTAAGGAAGTCGCCAAAATTCAAGGTAAACAAGTCGAAAGGTTTCCTTAATCAAGCCTTATTCGTCTCACCAAAATCATCGACGAACCTTTACTTTCGAATTCACCTCCACTTCCAACTCCAAATTCGCTTCGCCAATCACTTCGAGAAAAGTACGAAGAGCTCCGACGCCAAAAAGACGCTATTGCGCGAGACCTCGATGATCTCAGGAATCTAACAATTACGAAGGACGCACAGCAGCGTAAAGAGAGAATCGAAGAAGCTACAAGGCAACAATCATCAAGGCGCAGTTCTCGCAGTTCTCGCGATTCACTTCCTTCTCCCGTCCCTTTATTACTTCAGCCAGCGATTTTGTCACCTAAAGAATGCGCTGAAAAGCAGCAAGACGAGGTTCCGAGCAACTCTCACCAGGGACAGCGTGCAGATTTCCGTGCCCAACCTCAGCAACCCGAAGGGGGGATCCAGCACCCTCGGACGTACCGACAAGCTCCCCAGATCCCTCAACAAGCCACGTATCGACAAAAGGGATACCAGGGGTATGAGAATCGCCAAGAGCGTGCCCAAGGGTACGGATATCACCAAGCTAGAGCCCCAGCCGGTGACCCGAATAACCCTAGCGATCCTGACGATGACCGACGAGGAGGGAACGGAGGAGATTGGCAAGGAGATCGAGGACACGGATACGGAGGGGGTAGGAACGGCCCCCCTGGACCACCAAAGGGATTCGGAAACGGACCCTTAAGGGACCCCGGATTCGAAAATGAGCCGCCAAGGGACCCTGGACAAGACCCTGGACGAGGATACGAGCCCCCCGGCGGACCCGGGCCAAACCGACCCCTTACCAGCACCCCTTTTTCGACCCGAGTGCTAGCTAGGCACACCTACGGCACCCCAGCCCCTGACGACGACGACGATTTTCCTGAGCTAGGAGCGGCAGACCCTCACCCAAGAGCGAAGGAATTGGCCTTGTTTGCAAGAAGCTTTCCTAAGGAACTGAAGTATTCGGGACCCGACGACGACTTCAAGACCCAATTAGGTATTTTCGCTGACCAAGCAAGTCGGTACGGCTTGACATCCGACGACTATTTGGCAGCGTTCCTTATTATGCTTACGGGGGAAGCTATTAGCTTCTATTACAACCACGTGATCAAGGCCAAGCTACTTACCTTCAAGGCAAACGCTATTGCAATAAGGGACCATTTTGAGACTGACCAACGCCGGCAAGCTAAATACGATCGTTAAGAGGAAATCTTATTGCAATTGATCGAAAGGGAAAACCTAAGGACCTCGCTTAGCGAGTGCTTCGAAAAACTCGCTAAGGAGCTCAAGGGCATTCAAAGCTCGCTACGACCAGGTCTAAGGGACGATAAGAGTCTCGCCGACAAGCTGTATTCAGCTTGTAAAAACGTGCTAGAGACGACCATTGCGCGAATGAACCCTGCCTCTACCTCTACCGCCGCAATTGCTGACATTCGCCGAGCAATTGCTTTTGCAACTGAGATCATTCAACCTTTTCTTGAGAATAAGAGCTTACGACCTCCCGCCAAAGCAAGCAGAGCTTACGCGAGCTCTAGCGAGCCATTTGCTCAGCACTCCTCTCAGCACTCCTCTCAGCACTCCTCTCAGCACTCTCCTCAGCACTCTCCTCAGCACTCCTCTCAGCACACCTCAAGCAAGGCTGATTCCGACGACCTTAAGGACGAGTACGAATGCTTTATTCAAGGCTGCCAATACGGAGGGGAGCACTGCGAGCACTTCGCAAAGTGACGGGTTTTTGAAAGGAAAAGGGGGGGCTTGTTTCAAGAAGAATTTTTTTCTTTGTTCCTAGCGTTTGAA